ACATACATCCATACATACATACATACATCCATACATACATACATACATACATACATACATACATACATACATACATACATACATACATACATACATACATACATACATACATACATACATACATACATACATACATACATACATACATACATACATACATAACAAACATACATACATACATACATACATACATACATACATACATACATACATACATACATACATACATACATACATACATACATACATACATACATTACATACATCATACATACATACATACATACATACATACATACATACATACATACATACATACATTACATACATACATACAAACAATACATACATACATTACTACATTACATACATACATTACATACATACATTACATACATACATACATACATACATACATACATACATACATACATACATACATACATACATATGTACATGCATGCATACCTACGAGAGAGGGAGAGTGGGGAGAGAGAGGCTTGGGGGGATGGGGAGGATGGGAGCAGAGGGAGGGAGAGAGGACGACAGAACACACAAGGGAGACAAGGAAAAGAGGAAGAAGGAGAAAAGGGAGAGGACAATGTCGGCGGACTGAGCCGGAGGCTCTAAAGTATGTATGTACGTATATATGTATGTATGTGATGTAATGTATGTATGTATGTATGTATGTATGTACTGTATGTATGTACGTAATGTATGTATTGTATGTCATGTATGTAATGTATGTATGTATGTATGTATGTATGTATGTATGTATGTATGTATGTAATGTATGTATGTATGTATGTATGTATGTATGCAATGTTATGTATGTATGTATGTGTGTGTGCAATGTAATGTAATGTCATGTAATGTATGTAATGTATGTATGTATGTATGCATGTATGTATGTATGTATGTATGTATGTAATGTATGCAATGTATGTAATGTATGTATGTATGTATGTATGTATGTATGTATGTATGTATGTATGGTATGGTATGGTATGGTATGGTATGGTATGGTATGTAATGTATGTATGTATGTATGTATGTATGTATGTATGTATGTATGTATGTATGTATGTATGTATGTATGTATGTATGTATGTATGTATGTATGTAATGTATTATGTATGTACGTAATGTATGTATGTATGTATGTATGTATGTATGTATGTATGTATGTATGTATGTAAATGTAAATGTAAATGTAAATGTAAATGTAAATGTAAATGTAAATGTAATGTATGAGTAAAATGTAAATTATAGTACTTTTTGTATGTATGTATAGAAATGTATATAATGACAATGTGTATTTAAGTATGTTTGTTTATGTTTTGTATCTATGTAATGTATGATGTACGACAATGCCCAATGTAAGTATGTTGTATGTATGTAATGTATGTAATGTATGTAGTAAATGTATGTAATGTAAATGTATGTAAGTATGTATGTATGTATGTAGTAATAAAGTATGTAATGTCTGTATGAATGAAATCGTATGTCTGTAAGTAATGTATAAATGTAATGTAATGTATGTCATGATGTAAGTAATTATGTATAAATTTGTAATGTAATGTAATGTAATGCTAAAAGTAAATAATGTACATGAAATGTAAAAACTAGTAAATGTAAATGTAATGTAATGTATGTATGTAATGTAATATTAGGTTTAGTATGGTATGTATTATTTATTTTTGTATGTAATGTATGTATTAGATGTATGTAATGTATGTAATGTTATGTAATGTTTATGTAATGTATGTATGTAATGTAATGAAAAGTAAGTAATGTAATGTAATGTAAATGAAATGCAATGGTATGGTATGTAATGTATGTATGTATGTATGTATGTATGTATGTATGTATGTATGTATGTATGTATGTATGTATGTATGTATGTATGTATGTATGTATGTATGTAATGTATTATGTATGTACGTAATGTATGTATGTATGTATGTATGTATGTATGTATGTATGTATGTATGTATGTAAATGTAAATGTAAATGTAAATGTAAATGTAAATGTAAATGTAAATGTAATGTATGTATGTATGTATGTAATGTATGTATGTATGTATGTATGTAATGTATGTATGTATGTATGTATGTATGTATGTATGTATGTATGTATGTATGTATGTATGTATGTATGTATGTATCTATGTAATGTATGTATGTATGTATGTATGTATGTAATGTATGTATGTATGTATGTATGTATGTATGTATGTATGTATGTATGTATGTATGTAATGTATGTATGTATGTATGTATGTATGTATGTATGTATGTATGTAATGTATGTAATGTATGTATGTATGTATGTAATGTAATGTAATGTAATGTAATGTAATGTAATGTAATGTATGTCATGTATGTATGTATGTATGTATGTATGTATGTATGTATGTATGTATGTATGTATGTATGTAATGTAATGTAATGTAATGTAATGTAATGTAATGTAAATGTAAATGTAATGTAATGTAATGTAATGTAATGTAATGTAATGTAATGTAATGTAATGTAATGTAATGTAATGTATGTATGTATGTATGTATGTATGTAATGTATGTATGTATGTATGTATGTATGTATGTATGTATGTATGTATGTAATGTATGTATGTATGTATGTAATGTATGTATGTATGTATGTATGTATGTATGTATGTATGTAAGTAATGTAAGTATGTATGTAATGTATGTATGTATGTATGTATGTATGTATGTATGTATGTATGTATGTATGTATGTATGTATGTATGTATGTATGTATGTATGTAATGTATGTAAGTATGTAATGTATGTAATGTATGTATGTATGTATGTATGTATGTATGTATGTATGTATGTATGTATGTATGTATGTATGTATGTATGTATGTATGTATGTATGTATGTATGTATGTATGTATGTATGTATGTATGTATGTATGTATGTATGTAATGTATTTATGTATGTATGTAATGTATTTATGTATGTATGTATGTATGTATGTATGTATGTATGTATGTATGTATGTATGTATGTATGTATGTATGTATGTATGTATGTAATGTATTGTATGTATGTATGTATGTATGTATGTATGTATGTATGTATGTATGTATGTATGTATGTATGTATGTATGTATTTATGTATGTTTGTAATGTATGTATGTATGTATGTATGTATGTATGTATGTATGTATGTAATGTATGTATGTATGTATGTATGTATGTATGTATGTATGTATGTATGTATGTATGTATGTATGTATGTAATGTATGTAATGTATGTAATTATGTATGTATGTATGTATGTATGTATGTATGTATGTATGTATGTATGTATGTATGTATGTAATGTAATGTAATGTAATGTAATGTATGTATGTATGTATGTATGTATGTATGTATGTATGTATGTATGTATGTATGTATGTATGTATGTATGTATGTATGTATGTATGTATGTATGTATGTATGTAATGTTATGTATGTATGTATGTATGTATGTATGTATGTATGTATGTATGTATGTATGTATGTATGTATGTATGTATGTATGTATGTATGTATGTATGTATGTATGTATGTATGTATGTATGTATGTATGTATGTATGTATGTATGTATGTATGTATGTATGTAAGTAATGTATGTATGTATGTATGTATGTATGTATGTATGTATGTATGTATGTATGTATGTATGTATGTATGTATAAGTATGTATGTATGTATGTATGTATGTATGTATGTATGTATGTATGTATGTATGTATGTATGTAGTATGTATGTATGTATGTATGTATGTATGTATGTATGTATGTATGTATGTATGTATGTATGTATGTATGTATGTATGTATTGGTATGTATGTATGTATGTATGTATGTATGTAATGTAATGTAATGTAATGTAATGTAATGTAATGTAATGTAATGTAATGCAATGTAATGTAATGTAATGTAATGTAATGTAATGTAATGTAATGTAATGTAATGTAATGTATGTATGTATGTATGTATGTATGTAATGTATGTGTGTATGTATGTATGTATGTATGTATACATGCATGCATACATTACATACATACATACATTACATTACATTACATTACATTACGTTACGTTACATTACATTACATTACATTACATACATACATACATACATACAATGCATGCATGCATGCATGCATGCATGCATGCATACATACATTACATACATACATACATACATACTTACTTACTTCCATCCTTGCCTCCTTACTTCCTTACTTGCTGATTTGCTTATTTGTGGATTAATCTATGTTGTTCTTCATCTATTGTTACTTAAATGTTTCTTGGGTTTATCCGTTCATGCATGTGCTGTTTTTCCACATTCAGCACATGCGCATGCTACACCACGAGCAACATCGAGTGTTTGAATGAATTGGCTTGCTGCATTGTTTGTGAGGAGCCACGTAAGTCCAATCAAATGAAAAACAACGCCTTGAGCATTGACAGTATTGACATGAGGTCTTGGGCTCAAATTAGGCAGAGGTCCGGGGTAAAAGTCAATGGACCGGTATCCCACAACTAATCTTGAATGGAGCTACGCATTTGATGGAAGGTTTCACAATTTCAAGCACCGCTCAAAGCCAAGCTTTGTTTGCTGCTCTGGATTTATTATGAATACGTGCCTCAACTTATGCACACCGCTTTGTTCCTCCTCAAATGAGCTAGTGAAACCAATTCTGTGCCAAATCTGCGAGACGAGATCCACCTCATCACCACTTATTGCGAACTGGCTACGATTCTGCAAGCAAACCTGCATTGCTTGGCACATCCTGATTTGCATCAGCGTAGTGAAGGTACAGTACAAGGCATCTCTTGGGGGAAATCTCTTGGAAACAGGAAGATTGGTTCCCATGGTTCCACGCCGCGCGTATAACAGGCACGCAATATTGAACAATTTCAACCCAAGTTCCAGCAATTTCTGGCCACTGCAAACCCCAGTTCCCGGCCTGTGCACTTTTGGGCGCAAGCCACGCCGTGGCATGATTTTCCACACTGCTCGATGCCCTGACCACGGGTGAGCTTCCGCCCGCTGTGAACAAAACAGGGGTATGGCGCGCACGAATATGCCACTTTCCTGTGGCAAAAGTGGAGTCGGACTCCTTCTCTCAACATGCAAAAATTGAGAGAGCTACTTGGACAACAATCAGATTCTCCCAGCGCCATTCTGAGCCAATGGGATGACGGTTCGTTTGGCTTCACAATTTACGTAAGACAAGAATGTTGCAAGCCTGTGCTTGATGACCTAGTGCCTCCTGCAACCACTGCCGGCTTTATGACATTTGAAGATGGGGCCTGCAAACAGTGAAAGCAACCTTGGCAACTGATGCTCACAATTTGGTCTATCAGACCCTGGTCCGTGCGGTAACGGGGCTGCAAACATGATGTCGTCTAAACAAATACGCGCCGACTTTCTCCTGCTCTTACTTCTTGTTCAAATGGAGCTCTTGCTTCCCGTGACTCGATTTCTCCGCTATGAGCCCCTCGAAGGGGAACATTCTGATGGGTCAAGGTGACAAGGCTTCCCCTCTTCCCAAGCTATACAAAGGCGCTAGGAATCCTCCATAAGGTTACCTAGGTTTCTTATTTGCGCACGCCTCTCACGTCCCACTCCTCTGTGGGATCCCGACATCATAACAACAAAACATGCTAAAAATCAGCCAGCCAAACAACAAACAGGCAAAGAACAAGCTCGGCATCAACCACCTTCCAAAAACATCCCCAAACACCGAGAAAAACATCCCCAAAGACTTCCTCGCCAAGATGCGCCTTTGAATGAAACATCCCCAAAACCATCCCTTATCACCCAAGACAAACACGCAGACATCCCGAAAGACAATTCGCAGAAGCATCCAAGCGCAGAAATCCGCGGATTCATCCCAAAGTCGCAGACACGGCGAGACATCCCCCATCCAGTGTCATCCGCAAAGACATCCCGCAACGCAACTGCGAAGACATCCCTAAAAACACCCAAGACACCCCGAAAAGCCTTGCCCCAACAATAACACTTACCCCGAAACAGAATGCATCCCCCCAAGAAACCTTCCAAAGACATCCCCGAGCTCTGCGTGCTGCGAAAGCTGTCTGCCTAGCTCCAAAGTACCGCGCCTGCCAGGAAATCTGCACGCCTAGTTCGGGGCAATGCCCCTGCCACAAAATCTATCAAAAACTGCACACCAAGCTCCAAAGCGCTTCGCCTGCCACGAAATCGTTGCGCGCAAAGCTGTGTGATGCGCCTGCCACGACATTTGAGCAAAAAAACCTAAAGTGCTCGCCCATCACGCAAAGTGAGCTTGCCGCGAACTCAAAATTGTCCACAATAGCTGCGCCCGTCACGAAATCCAACTTTGACGCGTTTCTGGCGCGGATCCAAAACTAGTACGGAACTGTGGTGCCAGAATGTTTTAGACCGTCACTTTCAGCCCACCAAAACAAGTCGATTAAACACCCCGCTCTTAAAATGCAAATCGTGAAAGCACGGCAGTGCAAACGCGCAACCTTCCAAAACACTGCGCTGCGAAGCGAAAAGACACGCAGCATCTCAACAGCTACGATTTACGCACTGGAGCAATGGACACAGAACACATTCGAGCCTTCCCGAATAGCACGGCAACTTGCTTCGTCTTCGATCGCTTGCGGACGCTTGCGAACACGCTGACACATCAGGCGAACCCCCCACCCTTATAGCACGGGAACCTTGCTGCTGCGCATGCGGGGAAAAAAAGCTACACAAAACCACACCAAACAATGGCGCATCGCTTTTCAGCAACCAAAACATTCAACAAACAGTCGAAGGACCTGCTGTCTCACCGCTCCACCGGCCTCCTTGCTGCCTGAACACCTCGGATCAAGCGAGGTAAGGCATTTCTGGCAAGCGCTGCTAGTTGGAGCTCAAGCTAGCTGACATTGAATGCGATGCTAGCTACCAATCCCAAATAAATTGGTCCAACCCTTCCGAGGGTCAATGATGAACGTGGATTGGGGCAGAGTTTAGCTTCCCCAAAAGTGATTGCCGAACTCCAATACCCGGACTCCAACAAGCGTCCTGAAATATGAAGACAAGAGTTTGCAGGAACGTGCGTGGGACAAAATACATCACCAAGCACAAGTTGGCCCGTGGTCCCTCCTCCTCTACCATTTCTGGGTCGCAATGACTAGCAGATGCCAACAGTAGGGTGGCAGTTGCAAGCAGTCCAAGGATCGTGCCCTGCGCCAACTGTTACACCCACAATGCGGGGCACATCTGGGCTTCCCCGGCTGATAAGCACAGCGCTCGCCCTCGCAGCTGGATGCGCACGTGGAGCCAGAGCACATGTAGCCGCACTCGTCACCCTTGCACCTTGGACAAAAACGCCGGCATCTAATTGAGAGCATTCAGGCAGCAACTGCTGCCGCTGTTTACTTGAGGCTGATCGACATACTCGTCAAGCACCGTGAAAGGACATTGTCCGCCAACAAGCATGTGAGTCTTAAGCTGTTGACTAGCTGCGTTTTGGCGCAGCTTTGGAAGCTTCCAGAACCGCTGTCGCACGAGTAGCCACAGCGCTCACCTGCGGCACATGTGCAAAACATGGTGTGGCAGTGGAGTGACTACTGCTGTCCTTTCGAAGATGGGACTGCAGTTCAGCTTTGACTTCAGGTATAGCTCTTAGCACATATCCTTAGTTCTGCCGATATGCTTTTCCGTCTGACATGGTCAAACACGCGGATGTTTCACTTGAACCTGATTCGCTTCATGACAAAGTACGTGTGCAAAACGCAAAATGACAACACGAGCTTCAATCGGGCTTCTTTGCTAATGAGCTACACTAGCGTGAAGCCTCACGTTGCCTCAAGCCGCCAACTACCTGCCTGATACTGCCCAAACCAATCAATGTGTTCCATTCGTCAAAAGCTACTTGCGAGGCACACGTTGACATGGGCCTTTGTTGTACCAATCTCATCCTTCTCACGCTGCCCGTTCCACTGAAACATTGTGAGGAGCACGGACTGATCCGACTTGACTGATTGTGCTTAAGCTCTCGTCATCAAGTGTTTCCATCACACAAATGCACATAATATTCAATGTCGATGCTCGGAACTCGGAATTATTTTTACACGTTTTCTCAGAACCTTCATCCCCAGTATCAAACATCCAAGTTTGTCTCTCACGTGCTCAATGAGATAGCCCTGGCCTTGGCACAGCTCTGCGCAATTGCTGCCCTCGCAGCGGTAGCCGCACTCCAGGCCTCCCATGATTGCGGCCCCTTGCCCAAGTGATGCCCAAGTAACCTTCAAAAGGCGAATTCCAGTTTGTCCAGGGGCAGAACCTCCGTCTTCTGTAGGTCGGAGGCCTCAAAAGAGCATATGCCCCATCCTGCAGCATGAGCCAAAGCAAGACACAGCCCTTGTTTGTGCTGGAGGCTACAAGTTGAGTAAGTGCCATGCATGGTTTCCTCCAAGCGTTACATAGATCCGCTTCAAAAACCCTGCAAATGCATCTCTGAATCTGGCTTCTCTTGGGGCATTCTTCTATGCAAATCATTTCTTGGTTGAGCATGTTGGGTAAATTACAAATGGGAAGGCAACAAGGGCAAAGGAGCTGAGGGAACCAACCCAGCAGGGCGACCCCTGCTACTCCAAATACTCCAAGCGAGGTGGGGGTTCAACTGGCCTTGGCAGGAGGCGGCGCAGTAGCCCATGTCCTGCAGACGACATCAGTGACTTTCGATTCAAGGGGCACATGCCCCATGTCCTTTTTGTAGGGACCATGATAGGAATCGGTGCAATGCCTGTCAAAAGCCCCTACATCAGGGTCTACCAATCTAAGCAAGCCCAAGTTACTGGCTGTTTTGTCCACACCCATTGCAACCACCTGAGATAGAGCAAGTACAACACCACTCCATGATGCTCGAATTGCCGTGGCCCTGTGCCATGTCCCAGCATTGCCATCTGCAAGCCTTTCTTCGCCCAAAGCAACACATAATGACCGCCACGTACAGCGGATGCACGTTTCCAACCCCTTAGTCAAGTCTTGCTTCCCTTCGCATCCGAACCCAACCCGGTCCTCATGAGAACCCTGGCACCGGTAAGCACAGCGCTCTCCCACGCACTGCTGAGCACACTTGAAGCCGATGCACTCAAAGCCGCACTGCCTGCGAAGCGGAAGCTTTCGACCCGAAATCAGCGTTCCCCAAAGATCTTAAGGGATGAGATGAGTTGAAAGTCCCTGTCAATGTATGCCTGGAAACAGCTACACCGATGTTTGAACAGCCCGATTGCGTAGAATCGGCAAACAAGTGAACATGTGGCTTACTGCTCATGGGCCTAGTTCAAGCTGCGACGCGGTAAACCTGGCAGCAATGTCCGGAACAAATATGTTTTTTGGGCATACATGATCAAACAGCATGAGAGCAAAAGCCAACGTAAACCTGTCCCACACAAGTTCCCCAAGTACACGCACATCATGTGGCCAATGACCATAGCCTTAGGACACGCTACGTGCCGCAAGCAATCCAATAAGCAATGGTTCACTCACGTGAAGGGTTGCTGCTATCAACCATGTAAGTACCCGAGTTGGCCAATGCTACGAATTGCAAGTAATTAGCTCATCGTCCTTTTGAGTCAGAGACAATGCGCCGGGTAAGAGTTGCACCAAAGTCAAACAGCAACGTCTCGGCGCCAAACAGCCTGAAAGCACATGCAGCCTGCTCCACAATTGAGCGGTGGGCAAAACCTGGGTATACCTAGATGTTGTATTGTCTGCCTTCGCGACCCTTTGCACACTCCACAGTTTTCCTTGCGCGGAGCACATTTGGCCAAGAAACCCTTTCGCGGAGCTTTCGCGGACGGTTCAGCAAGCAATCCAGTGTTCAAAATCGGCCTTTCGCGGACCCTTGCGCGAACATGATTCCTCGCATCCCCTTCGCGAAACTTTCACTGTGATGCCTTGTGTTTTCCTTTCGTTGCAACTTACAGGAACACACCTTTACTAACTTCTTTCATCGGGTTTTTGAACGCTGCTCAATTGGTTAAATGGGGGTCCTCCTTTTTGCAGCAGGATTAATTTTACATGACTTGCTACAAGTATGAGTGATGCCTCTTGGACGAGCTTGATTGTTCTTACCTGGCAAGATTCGGAGACGCAACTCAGTAGCTTGAGGCAGTTTGAGATGCAGCCGAAAAGGTACTGCAGCCGTGGAGTGCAACCGTGGTGAATCAATATCGTCTTTGAAGATGCTTCGTACGTTTTTCACAAGGCGGGCACGTCCTTCAGCTCACGCCTCACCCAGCCCCCCCACCCCCACCCCCAGCCTTCCTTTGCACTGGTGCGCACAGTGACCCAGCTGGCCTGGCAGACTTGGACTCACAGCCGGGTGCTTGCAAACCGTAGTCCACGTAGTCACCCAGCTCTGATGGTGCGTATTAGCCCAAAAGGGCGCAGGTGCCCCAAGCATGTGTCTTGCCGACTGCTTATACGTGGAACATTCACCAGGCTGCAAACAATCGTGCCGAAAGCCCCCAACATGTTGATGAAGCCAACACTGCGGATGAGGGCCAACACGGAGAAGTGACTGATCTGGTGTGTGTATGTGTATTTATATATATATATGCATATACATATATATGTATATATGCATACACATATATATATATATGCAAGGCACACACACATGGGAAAAAACACAATTGTGTATAATTACGTGCAGAACACACGCGAGGCAATACGCATGCGCAAGTTCTCGCATGCGTATACATTTCTGCACGCTCGCAACACACGCGTACACCCACCAAAATTGCATGCATATACACCGTGAATACAAATGCGCTTACTGTGACCACAAACAGCATACTCGCCAAACACGGCGGCAACTTCTAAAGACAAAACCCAACCGTTGGCGTCTGTTGCCAAACAGTACATGCAACCTTCAACAGCACTGCGCAACCCCCAATTTGTTGTGTCAGCCCCGCCTTCTTTACTTAAAGCTAGAACCCCTACAGTCCAGTTGTCAGCTATCTTGGGAAGAACTAGATAGCACCCTGTGAGGGGCGTGCAAACACCGCGCAATTATTCTTGAATTTGTGAATATTGCGTACTTGCGTCCAACACAAGCATTGTGTAAGTGAGTGAATGGAAGCTGAGGACACCAATGTGCAAGCACTCGCTGTGGAAAGGAAAACTCAGCGGGAAAACCCTTGTGAATGGAACAGTTTGCACCATATTGCAGCATGCAAAAAACCATTGTGTTTGGTCCATTCCTATGTGTAGTTGTTGGATGCACCCCCGCTCGAGGCGTGTGTGTTTCACAATTGACTTTGGCTAACCTTAACTACTTTGGGTGGGCTTTCCGGCACTGCCTCCAAAAAGCTAGCGCGTTGTGATCTGAAGCTAAGTTGGCCTTCGCCAAATGCGCGGCCACCCTTTCCAGCTTTGGACAATAAATTCACATGGCCTGCCCCTTTGAGAAGTCAAGGATTGTCTCTGCGCTTCATCGCATTTCCCAATATCTGCTCCATTCGACACCGGTCGCCCACTCACGCAAGCTCCCGCCTGCTTCGCCGCTGCAGTAGCTGCCGCAGCGGTCTCCGTCACATTCTCTCGCGCACTGAGTGCCCCGGCAGTAGTAGCCGCACTCCATTCCTGGCGCAAGAAAAACATCAAACTTGGAACTGGAGGAACAAGTTTGCAGAGGTCAGACGTATGCGCCTCCAACTTTCTTCACTCTCTCTCTCCCTCTCCAAGTACCAGTAGAGCCGGCAGAGAGCCGGTGGGCGGAAGTTTCTAAAGCGAGAGAAGCGCCTATAGGAAGAGCTTGGCTTGTCTTTTTGGGTTTCGCCCTCTCTTTCTTTCTTTCTTTCTTTCTTTTCTTTCTTTTCTTTCTTTCTTTCGCTCTTTCTTTCTTTCTTTCTTTCTTTCTTTCTTTCTCGCTTTCTTTCTTTCTCTCTCTTTCTTTCTTTCTTTCTTTCTTGCTTGCAGTACTTTCTTTCCTGCTATCTATCTATGTGTCAATCCATCACCAGACCTTTCGAAAGCGCTGCGCCCGCCACGAGATCAGCATTTGGCCTTGCGAAAATGCTGCTCCCGCCACTAAATCTGTACTCGAATCTAAACTTCATCTTGCGAACGTGCTGCGCCTGCCACAAAATATGTGCTTGACCTTGCGTGGCTGCAACATGCTGCGCCTGCCACGCGTTTTGCACCGCAGCTATCTATCTATCACCTGACCTTGCGAAAGTGCTGCGCCCGCCACGAAATCTGTACTCAACCTTGCGAAAATGCCGCGCCTGCCCCGAAATCTGCACTTGGCGTTGCATGGACGCAAAATGCTGCGCCTGCCACGAAATCTGCACCTCAGGTTGCCAAAGTGCTGCGCCTGCCACGCGATTTGCACCTCCGAAACAGCCTGCGCGGCCGTGCCATTGGGGGTCTTTTCGACCCCGTGGCGAACCCGTAGCGAACCCGTGGCGAACCCGTGCGCAAAACAGAGGTACCCTTCGCATTGTTCACGCGAGTTGCGAACTACAATTTTCGTACTACGGAAGTTTTCTAACTAAACTTCCGTTGGTTACACGGAGCTCCTCTCGAGCTTTTGGCTAAGAGAGTCAAAGACAGACAGACAGGACGGACGGATGGACAGACGGACAGACACGGCCAGACAGGGGGACAGAGAAACTGAGAGAGGGAGAGAGAGAGAGAGAGAAAGAGAGAAAGAGAGAGAAACAGAGAGAAAGACAGAGACGGAGAGAGAAAGGGAGGGGGAGAGAAAGACCTTCTTTGCAAAACATAGCTGACGACAGCATTTCATCAAGTGCTGTTGCTGGAGTGGCTGACGAACACTCCAGAGTGTTTGCACTCAAACGTCACATCATGTTTTGCCGAATAGCGCAAATACTTCATCAGCACTCGCAGCAATGCCTTTGACCTCATCTGGCAACACAAGCTACGATAAACATTGCTCGCGACTCTGACAAGCTTGGCAAAACATCACGAAAAGGAGAACCAACTGCAAAACATGACGCACACGCGTGCGCTAGCAAACCCAAGTTGGAAAATAAATGGCCTCATTGCTGGGAGGCCCTTGACATTGGAAAGCTTGAATAATTTCACTCATTATTCCAGAGCCACAAGGACCCTGGTCCCCTATTCCAAGGTATAGCCAAATCGGGCTGGACACAAGAAATGTTGTTTAGCGCACTTTCCTTGTCTCGCTAAGAAATTCCCAGACGGCCCCTTTGCGTAGACCATAGTCCATATTAGATCATATTAGGAGGGTGCGGGACACAGACGCGCAAAAAATATAAAACAATCGTGGAGTGTTCGATGCCCCGTGGGACACTGTCCAACATCCTCAGCATCTGCATCCTCAGCGTCACCACAAAGGACAGAGGAAACTGCAACAGGAGTCCTAGCTGGACCAAACAGGGGCAAACCAAAGGTCCATACTCACGTCCTGCCCGCGCCTATCTAAAGCAGGAGCAAGCAGGGTCACGATTTCTGCATCCTCAGCATCACCGGCCCCTACTCGTTTCTTCCGGGAACCTTTTAAAACTTTAAACATGACCGAGCAAAGTGCGACAACTACAAGAATGGGTGGCCCGCAGGTTTCTGCGCAAGTGCTCGTCTCAAGGTTGCTCTGTGCAGGTCGCTCAGCGCAAGCGCGCGGTGCACCTGCTCTGCGCAGGTTGCTCTGCGCAAGTGCTCGGCCCAAGCGCTACGCAAGTTACACTGCGCAGGCCGCGCAAGTTTCTGCGCGCAAATGCTACGCTCGCATCGCTGCATCCTCAGCATCACCGCGTCGCCAGCATCACGCGCGAATTCCTGGCAAAAAAAACACGAACAGGTCGAGGCAACGCGCCCCTGCTCGCGTGCTGCGGAGACCTTTCACAAAGTGACCGAGGAAACTGCAAACAAAAACCTACAGGGGCATCCCCCGCTAGGGAATAATCATGAACGACCAAAGGCACGCCAAGGATTTTGGGGTGGCCTTTCTGAAAACAGGGTTGCATCCTCAGTATCGCCAGCTCGGGAAAACAACATGAACAAACAAAGCCAAACCAAAGAGAACGCAAAGGAACAACAAACACCAGCAGGGCAGAGCTGCATTGCATCAGTAGCACCCCCCATGATCGCTTCTGCCGGCCTCTCCAGCAGAAAACGAGGAAGCCGCCAACAAACAGCAGCAGCTAGGGACAAGAACTGGAACCAGCGAAGGCAAACCAAAGGCCACTACTCAAGTCCTGTGAAAGACGCAAGCAAAAAGAGCATGACACATCATGCAAGAGCTTACTTGCATCAGGAGAGCTCCCATCCATCATTTGCGACCTCAAAGAAAGGAGTTGCAAACACAACTATTCACGTCCCAGATAGAGAAAAGAAAACAAACAAACGGAGGCAACGCAAAGGTCCCCATTCCAGTCCTTCGGGGACCTTTGCAAAAGAAAGAATGCCAACAACAGAAAAAAAAAAGCAAGAAGCGTCAGAAAGACAGAGCTTGACTGCATCAGGAGCAACAGTCACTTCTGGGGACTTGTCCACAAACAACAGTGAAGTTGCAAGAAACCGCAGTGGCAAGCCAAAGGCCCCTTCCTGCGGGGGCCTTTCCAAAGAAAAGAGTCAAAACAAAAAGAAATATAAAAGGCAAGAAGCATCAGCAAAACAGCTCCGGATTGCGCCAGTGGCACCGCCCCCATCCATTACTTCCTTCTGGGACCTGTTTAAAAGAAACAGGGGAAGTTGCAAGCAACGAAACGCATCCCCTAGGGAATGGAGGCGAACCAAAGGCCCCTACTCAAGCCCGGTGAAAAGGGCAAGCAAAAAGGAGCTACATCAGTAGCACCTCATACATCACTTCTGGGGAACAACACACATCCCCGGCTAGAACGCAGGCAAACCAAAGGCCGTGACTCAAGTCCTGTTGAACAAGCCTTTCCAAAGGAAAGAACGCAAACAAAGAAAAAAAGAAGCAGCAGCAGAACAAAGGTTGATTGCGTCAGTGGCACCCCGGTCCATCACACACACACACACACACAAACAGCTTCTTAATTGTTTCCATTGCTGGCACTTGTGAAACACATGTAAGAAGAGGATTCGCCGTCACACCCATCTCTGCTTATTGCTGTTGCCGTTCTCACACAAAAGCCCCCTTCCCAAATCGAGTTGCTCCTGTGCACATGCAATGCACCTGTATAATGTCTGTGGTCTCAGCTGGAGGCGTAAAAGTATCCCAACCTCATCTGATGCACCTTGCTTGCAAGCGCTTTGCCAAGTGTGCGCGCCTTTGCATTTCATGCCGCACTGCTGCACATCGCCGAGGCCGCCATTGCACTCGTAAGCGCACTTCTCTCCTATCAGCTGCGGTTTTCAAGACTTGCAACCCACGTGAGCAGTGTCCACATCTGGCAGGTTTTGCTTCTGCAAGAAGGCACATGTAGAATCCAGGATAGCCTAGCTCATCGATGGAGCTTGCCCGATCTGAAACAAGCGGCAAACGTCCTGCGTGGTGGGCTGCTTCAAAGCAGAACTCTTTGTGTATGTTTGTGACTGTCTGTGTCTCTGTCTGTGTGTGATTGCTTGTGAATGCTTGTTCGCCGTGGATATCATGGACCAACTTGGACCCTGCGCGTCTGTGCGGATGGATAAATATGTGTGTGTGAGGCGTGTGGGCCTGTGCGTGTGGACGTCTGGGTGTGGGGACGCGTGCATGTGAGCGTGGGCGTGTGGGTGTGTGAGCCTGTAGGGCGTGTTGGCGTGTAGGCCGGGTGTCTGTGGGTCCGTGTGCCTGTGTGTCCGTGCGTCTGCGGGTGACTTGGTGCATAATGTGTCTCTGTGTGTCTCTGCATTTTTGTTCGTGCAGTTGTGTTTTTGTGTCGTGTGTTCGCGTGCTCGAATGTTGTTCGTGTGGTCACGTGTTTCTGTGTGTGCGTGCGTGTGTTGGTGGGTCCTGCTTCATAGGCCTTCTTATCCCCACTACAGATGTTGCTGTCACACAAGACTGGCCCCATTCCCGAGTCCCGTCCTTCGCAAGAGGATGCGCAGTTGGCGCCTTGGAACAGCTTTCCAAGAGCGGGAGGCCGAAGGTTTAGCGTTAAGCTAGCAGCCCACCAATACCACGAGGCCCTATGGGTATGGTTCTGCATCAGACACTTACACAGTCACAGAACTGCTATGCCTCTTTTGTCAATGCAGTTGTGCACATGCCACTACTGGCCAAGGTCTTGATTGGCGCGTAGCGCACTACCTCCACTCAAACACCACACTGATCGCCAACAGCTGTTGCACGTCAAGTTGCATGATGGGACAGTGGCTGTTACTGAACTTGGCATTCAACTCGATAAGGAAGTGGCACGTTTCCCTTCATACCTGTTGCATAGGCATGCTGAATGATGTTGGACCATGTTTAGACTATCGGCAAGGCCCACTGGTTTACCAAACATGTGGTTCTTCTGGCTGCGAAGGTCTGTCATATTGATGATGCACGCTGACACCCTGTCGTGATGGGCATGTTTCAAAGAAAACACAACAAAATCTCAAACCAGCGAGTGCTGAGACGACTGCATGTGACTCGCCGTCAGGTTAGGCACCCGCACCGGTGCACTGGTAGCCACATTGCACGCCCTTGCACTGCTCTGCGCAACTCTGCACTCCGAAGAGGGAGCCCGCGCCTCAGTCCAACTCTTCCAGTGAACATGTTGCCCCCTTGAGCAAACTATCTGCAACAGCCACCTGAAGTACATGTACGGACCTACCACGGAACTGAGGCCTCTGTTGGGTCAGGGAATGAATGAGGACGCTACTCTGTCCATGTAAGGCCTGTCCAAACTTGCTTTGAAGATGCTCTCACATTGATATCGAGGCTTCCAACAACCAGCCGCCAAATACATCCATGATTTTCTTCAAAGCCCCAGCAAGAATCTTGCGTTTTAGGTTGCATACAGCATACAGTCGCTCTCCTGCATCTGTAGGTGATTGGTGAAAGGCTGAACAACTTGCCCAAGGTTGACCAAAATTCATTTAATCTGAAATGCCCTTTGAGTTCAGCCTCGATCGTGCCTTTCAGTTGCAAGTGACCCGCGAGCAAGCACAAGCCGTGACCTTGCCGTCCCTTTGCCGTTCTGGAGTGCCCCGGGCGGTCTACAGCGACTTTGCGGGGAAACACAATAGCAGCTTTGCAATGTCAACTATGGCTCATCCATTTTCAGGTGATGCCAGCCCCTTGTTCTCATGTACAAAAAGCAATGTCTTCCCCATGCCACGGCACATTTGAATCCGCACTTGTCGCCGACGCAGTGCTTGGCGCAGTCAGCGCCTCGTCACACAATCCGAATGACTGGCACGGTCGGTCGTGTCACTTAAGCCATTGTTTACACACACACAAACACACAAACACACAAACACACAAACACACAAACACACACACACACACACAAACACACAAACAAACACACACACACACAAACAAACACACAAACACACAAGCACACAAACACTCAAGCACACAAACACACACACACACACACACAAACACACGACAACACACACACACACAAACACACGACAACACACACACACACAAACACACGACAACACACACACACACAAACACACACACACACAAACAAACAAACAAACAAACAAACACACACACACACAACACAAACACACACACAAACAAACACAAACAAACACAACCAAGTATAAACAAACACAAACAAACACAAACAAACACAACCAAACACAAACAAACACAAACATACACAAACACAGACACACAAACACAGACACACACACAAACACAAACACAGACACACACACACACACACACACACACACACACACACACACAACCACACACAAACACACAAACACACCAATACGCAAACACGCAAACACGCCAACACACAAACACACAAACACACAAACACGCAAACACACAAACACACAACACACAAAAACACCCACCCACACACACACACAAACTCACACACACACTCACACACACTCACACTCACTCACACACACACTCACACACACACACTCACTCACTCACTCACCTCACTCACCTCACTCACTCACTCACTCAGTCACTCAGTCACTCAGTCACTCAGTCACTCAGTCACTCAGTCACTCAGTCACTCAGTCACTCAGTCACTCAGTCACTCAGTCACTCAGTCAGTCACTCAGTCACTCAGTCACTCAGTCACTCAGTCACTCACAGTCACTCACTCACTCAGTCACAGTCACTCACTCACTCACTCACTCACTCACTCACTCACTCACTCACTCACTCACTCACTCACTCACTCACTCACTCACTCACTCACTCACTCACTCACAGACAGAGACAGAGACAAAGACAGAGACAGAGACAGAGACAGAGACAGAGACAGAGACACAAACACACACACACACAGACGCACACAGACACAGACACAGACACAGACACAGAGACAGACACAGACACAGAGACAGACACAGACACAGACAGACACAGACACACACACACAGAGAGAGAGAGAGAGCCACGTGGACACAGCGATCCCAGTTGAATTTTGTGTCAGCCATTTCTGGAATGGCCTAGAGATGTCTGTGCCTTTCATTGCGGCGAAAACAACAGTCGACCGCTTTGCAATGCTGGCTGCTCCCGCTGTAAGACAAAGCTCCAGCCATGTCCACCCCCAGACGCTGCCGGCCTCCACAGCTCTGGTCGGCAGCCATCACCTGGCGACCAACGTCCGGAAGCCTTCGACACATGCCAATTGAAGATCCTGGGATGTCCCGTGAGCTCTTCCCCCTTCTTTCTGTCACCCAAGGCATCCCAAGGCATTATGACAAATGCCACTGAGTGAAAGTGAACCTGATGTAAGATATCAGCAGAGCCACGGTCGAAGAAAGCGGTCTCACAATCCAGGTGGAAAAAAGAAATTCCTCTGGTGTTTGTGTGATGGATCGCTGGAGCTTGACTGAAGCACAGCTGCTTGCAGCGCGCACGTCATTCAACTTGCGGATTGACTACAGCTTGCAGTCCATGCGTGGGAGTGAGCTAACAAGCCCACACCTGCAAATGTCGGAAAGAACCACTTTCACGTGACAGCATAAACTGACTGGCAGGCATGCCGCGGCATATGGCTAAAAATAGGCTTGCAGGTCCGAAGACTTTTGCCCGCAAACATGTCAAATACCTTCCAGGGTGTGTACGCAAGCCATGCGAGGAGAAAAGATCGCGCACTACGTATGCCGATTGTACTGACAACCCATGAATCACCGAATCACAACGAGCCTCATGAATCAAGCATCAAGCACAGCAAGCATATAATATCTTGTTTGCGGGGGAAAGCACAACAGGAGCTGTGTTGTCTGGAAAGCATTGCACTGAAATATTGTCGCGAGCATGGCAAAAAAGCTCAAGCCTGAAATCTGCAAGTTAGGATTGACAAATGGGATGCCGCAGAGGTTGTCCTTCAATGAATGCTGGTGCATGGTGTCTTCAAACGTCGAGTAAGCACTTCCAAGTGAAACGGGCTGCTATGTCTATTTGGCGGGTGCACAAGATTCGTGGATTTCATTCAATTGCTAAGCCCAGGCCTTGCAGGCTGGCTCATCAATGAAGTAGCCAGCCTCGGCGGATCTGCGCAAGCAAATCAGGCACACTACACAAGCACACTAATCTACACAAATGCAGTTTCGACCTGAGAAAAGGGGTGTCACTCGCGCTCAGAGAGCACATGCACTGCAGAAAGTTGGCATGAGTGGATAGTTTGATTGCTGATCCCTCCCCGATAAGATGGGCCGTCCCATTCATTGGCCCGAGCCCGCCGCATTGCAGGTCTGGCAGTGATCGGCCTGTCAAGGGTCCTTCTGTAGCACATCTCACTTCTAGTTCAGTGACATCGGTAGAACCTGCAACCCAGTGAAAAGGGACAACTATGTAGCCACAAAGTCTAGGTGCTTTCTTCTGATGAGTGAGCAATCTGCAAAAAAGGCTAACATGCTTGTGTTGGTCACCCTTGCAAATCCCGCCAAGGGCACAGGTAGAATCTGCAGGTAAGGCATACTATGAAGGGGCCTGATCCAGCATTGCAGGCCACAAACGAAGGAAGCCTGGGGTTTTCATAGACAGTTGCACCTCCCAGCCCCCATTGCAAATTGCAAAAGAAGCTGAATAAGAGAGAGCAACAACGCACCTGTCATCACAGTAAGCTTCACAGCCATTTCACGTCCAGAAAAACCTGCCGCAGCCGCCACCTTTGCCGCCTGCCTTGGTGCGCTTGACAAGCTCCACGCAGGTCGCACAAGAAGTTTCCGCTCCCGGTGTGCATTGCCAAGCCTGACACAGCGCAGCTGAGGAAATTCTCAGTGCCTGAATCATGCTTTTCCACAGAGCGCGCGCAAATGCTGCGGAGACAACTTTAGCACTTTCAGAGCTCTGGTCAGCGCAGCAATTCGCGCACTACCGAAGATGCCGTGCAAGCTCTCGTAATTATATCAACTGCCAACAGCAGCGCCTGTTTGTGCGGCGAAGGCAAACGTGAAGCCTCCCACCGTCTAGCAACACACTTATAAAGACCTGCGAAATGGAGGCATCTACAAATCAGATCACCTTGCTTTTTGTACCCCGCTATCCATCTGCAACAAGTGCCAAAATGACTCTAGACTCAGCATGGAGCCGTCACCCACTGCGCAAGCTCCACCCCTGCCTCGCAGCTGCCGGTGTGGAAAGGGGTCCCCACCTTGGCCTCCACGGTGCCATGGTAGCCTGATCCCAGCTCTGTTCCTTCCGTCCCCAACCCCCATGTCACAGAGTGACCTCCAGTGCCAATTCCTAACCAATTAGACCTTTAGCACGTGAAGGTCGGAGAGGCATGAAAAGCTTACTCTTGTAGGATTGAATCTTTGGCCAAAAGTGTCTCGAAGCGCAGTGACAGCAAGCAAAAAAAAGTGCTTGATTCTTCCCCATGACATCTTCCTGTGAGCTCAGTGGTCCCAAAACACACCACCCGCAAAGAGAATGCCTGCTGCAGTGGGAAATATGTTAATCCCTGGTCGAAACAAAAAATAAGCAGAGCAGTTGAAAGTAGCCAACAGCAACTCATGCGTCGGCCCTTGCTGGTTCACACGTCTATTGGGTTATCGGCTATCTATACTATTCTATTGGGTTCTCGGGCCATCAGAGCTTGCTCCGCAAAGCCATTCCCACAGCCTGCTTCGCAGTTGCAGCCGCCGACGATGCTGACACCCGTGGAGTGAGCCCTCAAAGCGGCAAGTGGCTTGAAGCAAAGCCCTTGGAACATCATGACTGGTTTGCGCCTACAAGTAGCACAACCCAACACACACACACACACATTTTACGAACAGGGCCCACGGAGGGACCGACCATGTCTTGTTGCGTCTGAGAATGCACCATGCGCAAAAAGCCTGGGGATTGAAGCTTTGGCAGACCTCGCCGTTTGTAAAATACTGCGGCCCCAAGGACTCTGCGAGCAAAATGTCCCCGATTCTTTGGTACTTGTTGTGACAGACTTCTATATGCCTCAAGGCCTTGATCCTTTACACAACCAACCTTGGCATCCACTTCAGACTGTCCTGCCTTGCTGAGGTGACAACGATGTTTGTTGCTTGACAAGATGTGAGCACCTTATATATATATATGCAATTCACCAGCAGGTCACTCAACTCGCGTAGAGTGTGTAAAAGGTGGGATAGAGTTAAGCTCGCTCCATGCATGTTTCCTATATTATGAACCTCTACAATGATTGTCTCAAACCCTGGCTAAGGGGGTTGATGATCAGCCTCATGTAATCCAGGGCATAGGAAGCTGCACGTATGACGCATAAAGGTCATACGTCCGTTTCTATCAATGCGTGACTCGAGTCACGCATTGTCAAATATGCGCGCAAAATGTGGTCAATGGCTTAGACTGATGTCTCAAACCAACCTTGGCTCAGTCGCTTGAGAGTCTTGCTATTGCCATCTGCCAGTTGAAAACACCAGGCACTCCAAGGATGTCCCACTTTGCCTCAATTTGCGTCGTCACTCCAAGACCCGGGCGGGCAGTCCGCCGCTGAGCACTGACCGGTAAACCCCTGCCTTGGCTGCAGAGATTTGGAAGGACAGGGCGGGGTGGCCTTTAACCGGACAGGCCCAGGTTTACCAGTCTCACTGTTCTTTCAAGTGGTAGGTAGGGAAGGCCCCAGTGTCAAATTAGACGCCAATGACAATGTGGCTTCCTTACCTTACCCAAATGCAACAGGTGAGCACTGAGGAGAATGTACTATAGATAAAATTCAAGAATTAATGCTATAGGTCAGTCTTGACAAACGATGTGGTGTGCTCTCCTCTCTGGTTGACGTTGCTGATTTACCCAACTGCCGCAGCTCCGGTGGCACAAGGTAGCAAAGTCGCCGCTCAAAACGGAGAGCTCTGCGCTCTTTTTCTGCACTCCACAGGCACCGTGAGGCGCCTTCCAACGGCCAAATAGAATCAGCCCAACAGTTTGAGCCAGCCTGTGTCGCAGGGCGATGCATCGCGCCCGCATGGCTTCCCTGCGTTGTGCTTTGCGCAGGCTGCCAGTTCTTTCAAATCATGTCCCAAGATGCCAGGTACCGGAAAATGAAAAAAGTTGGCGACAACGTGGAATCCAGGCTTGGCTTTCAATCCTGGCATCGCCGGGCCCAACTGAAACTTCAACCAGCCAGCTTTCACTAGCCTCAGCCCCGTTCCATAGCCGGGAAACAATATGCGAATGGGTCGGTGGCTCCGCTCACTTCGGCCTTGGCCTTGCAACGCGTCAGATGAGGGCGGCCACCTGTGCCTGGGTTGGCTGAAGCCGCAGGCTTCAAGTCTGTGCCAGGCAAAACACCTACGTAGTTCAGTCGGCTTCATTTAGCAGCGGAACAAAAGCGCAAACCTTTTCCCTCCCCGTCAAGCTTTTAATTGTTCTCCGATTGTTCTCCCGATCATTCTTGAACCGGTCGAGCCATGCGATTTGGAGCTGAAGGCTTGACAGTTGTCTGCCACTCTACCAGACTCTACCATAAGCAAGTCCCTACAAATCATTCAGCCGGTCAGCCGGTCAGGTCACAATCGAAAATGAAGGGCATCCCTCCCCGCCTGTGGCCCACCAAAGCGGTAGCCCAGGCAGGTGATCCAGACTGACAGCACGAAGCCCAGGACGAAGAGGAGCCCGGCCTTGTCTCCAGCGCCTGCAAACTCGCTTCCCTTTAGTGTCAGTCACCTCAGCGGCTTATCGCTTTGCCTTCAATCAAAGAGGTTGCCAGGCTGCCTTTGCCGAACGGCCGAGACCCGAAGGTTGATTGTAGCGCGACAAGTCCTGGGACCATCATTTCAGTCCCAGCTCGGCACGGGCTGAACTTGGCTTGACATGACAAAGGACTTCTTTTACTAAGCCCTGACTGAGCGCTTGAGGTGGGCCACAGTCTTGGATCACCTTTACGTGCCTCAGAAGAAAGCCCATTCCAACTCTCAAGATGATCAAAACCTGATCCTGCTCCTTGCAACAGTGGGAAGAATGTTCTGAAGAAAATCCGCCGACAACAGACAGCGTTGTTGGACACAAAAAATGCTCCTTACCTCTTTACCTGTTACCCCTACCATTTCAGACTATTGCGGGGGGGGGGGGGTCCACGTACCACGCGGTGATTCGAAGACGCTTCACTAAATCTGTTCATTGCGCGGGCTTGCGCAACTCAGTTTGTCAAAAACATTGGGGTGTTCGATTCCCCCGGGTGCGCTTTCGCATCCTTAGCAGCTCCAGTGGCACATCGCCAGCATCACCTGCATCATCCGCATCAGCGCCTGCCAAGGATGCGGATGATGCAAGTCATGCTGGGGATGTTGCCCATGCTGGTGAAGGAAATGAAAAGGGGAAAGGGGGAAAGGATCTCAACAGCGAAAGGGGGGGAAAGATCTCAGGGAGGAAAGGGAGAAGATCTGGGGAAAAAATGCCTTAAGGGGGAAAGGGGGGAAAAGATCTTTGGGAGGAAAATGGAAATCTTTCTCGGGGGGAACAGGCCCTAAGGGGCAATGGGGGGACAGGATCTCAAACGGGAAAGGGGGAAAAAGACTTTGGGGGGAGAAGGCCTTAGGGGGGAAACGGGGGAAAGGATCTTAAGCGGGAAAGGGGGGAAAAGATCTTAGGGAGGCAAAGGGAGACGAACTCAGGGAAAAGGACTTAGGGAGGAAAGGGGGGGAAAGATCTTTGGGAGGAAAAGGGAGAAGAACGGAGGGTGGGAAAAGGCCTTAGAAGGAAAAGGGGGGAAATAAATGATCTCAACAGGGAACTAGGGGGGGGGGGGAAGATCTTAGGGAGGAAAGGCAGAAGATCTGGGACAAAAAGGCCTTAGGGGGGAAAGGGGAGAAATGATCTCAACAGGGAAAGGGGTGGAAAAGATCTTAGGGAGGAAAGGGAGAAGATCTGGGGAAAAAAGGCCAACAGGGAAAGGGGGCAAAAGATCTTCAGGGGGGGAAAGGCCTTGGGAGGGAAAGGGGGGAAAGGATCTCAACAGGGAAAGGGTGGGAAAGATCTTAGGAAGGAAAGGGGGGGGGGAAGATCTTAGGGAGGAAAGGGAGAAGATCTGGGAGAAAAGGACTTAGGGGGGAAAGCCCAACAGGGAAAGGGTGGAAAAGATTTAGGAAGGAAAAAGGAGAAGCTTTTAGGGCGGGGAAAGGCCTTAGGGGGGAAAGGGGAAAGATCTTAGGGAGGAAAGGGAGAAGATCTGGGGACAAAGGCCTTAGGGGGGAAAGGGGAGAAATGAGCTCAACAGGGAAAGGGGTGGAAAAGACCTTAGGGAGGAAAGGGAGAAGATCTGGGGGAAAAAAGGCAAACAGGGAAAGGGGGAAAGATCTAAGGAAGGAAAAGGGAGAAGCTCTCAGGGGGGGGAAAGGCCTGAGGGGGGAAAGGGTGGGAAGGATCTCAACAGGGAAAGGGGGGAAACAATCTTAGGAAGGAAAAGGGAGAAGATCTGGAAAGGCCTTACAGGGAAGGGGGGAAAGGATCTCAACAGGGAAAGGGGGCAAAGGATCTTAAGGAGGAATAGGAAGAAGATCTCAGCGGGGGGAAAGGCCGTAGGGGGTAAAGGGGGGAACGGATCTCAACAGGGGGGGAAAGATCTCAGTGAGGAAAGGGAGAAGGTCCCAGGCAGGGAAAAGGCCTTAGGGGGGAAAGGGGGAAATGATCTCAACAGGGAAAGGGGGCAAAGGATCTTAGGGAGGAAAAGATAGAAGATCTGAAAAGGCCTTAGGGGGAAAAGGGGGAAAGGAGCTCAACAGGGAAAGGTGGGAGAAGATCCTAGGGAGGAAAAGGGAGAAGATCTCGGGGGGAAAGGGGGAAAGGGGGAAAGGGGGAAAGGATAGGCCTTAGGGGGGAAAGGGGGGAAAGGATCTCAACAGGGAAAGGGGGCAAAGGATCTTAGGGAGGAAAAGGGAGAAGACCTTGGGGGGGAAAACGCCTTAGGGGGGAAAGGGCGGGAAAGGATCTCAACAAGGAAAGGTGGGAAAAGATCTTAGGAAGGAAAAGGGGGAAGATCGCGGGGGGAAAAAAGGCCTTAGGGGGGAAAGGAGGGAAAGGATCTCAACAGGGAGAGGGGGGAAAACATCGTAGGGAGGAAAGGGAAAACTCAGAGGGAGAAAGGGCCTTAGGGGGGAAAGGGGGAATGGATCTCAACAGGGAAAAATTGCAAAATATCTTAGGGAGGAAAAGGGAGATCTCAGGGGGGGAAAGGCCTTAGGGGGAAAGGGGGGAAATGATCTGAGCAGGGAAACGGGGGGAAAGATCTTAGGGAGGAAAGGGAGAAGATCTGGGGGCAAAGGCCTTAGGGGGGAAAGGAGAAATGATCTCAACAGGGAAAGGGGTGGAAAAGATCTCAGGGAGGAAAGGGAGAAGATCTGGGGGAAAAAAGGCCAACAGGGACAGGGGGGAAAGATCTAAGGAAGGAGAAGCTCTCAGGGGGGGAAAGGCCTCAGGGGGAAAGGGTGGGAAGGATCTCAACAGGGAAAGGGGGGAAACAATCTTAGGAAGGAACGGGGGGGGGGGAAGATCTTAGGGAGGAAAGGGAGAAGATCTGGGACTAAAGGACTTAGGGGGGGAAGCCCAACAGGGAAAGGGGGGAAAAGATCTTAGGAAGGAACAGGGAGAAGCTCTCAGGGGGGGAAAGGCCTTGGGAGGGAAAGGGGGGAAAGGATCTCAACAGGGAAAGGGTGGGAAAGATCTTAGGGAGGAAAGGGGGGGGGAAGATCTTAGGGAGGAAAGGGAGAAGATCTGGGAGAAAAGGACTTAGGGGGGAAAGCCCAACAGGGAAAGGGGGGAAAAGATCTTAAGAAGGAAAAGGGAGAAGCTCTCAGGGGGGGGAAAGGCCTTAGGGGGGAAAGGGGGAAAAGGATCTCAGCAGGGAAAGGGGGGGGGGGGGAAAATCTTAGGGAGGAAAGGGAGAAGATCTGGGGACAAAGGCCTTAGAGGGGAAAGGGGAGAAATGATCTCAACAGGGAAGGGGTGGAAAAGATCTTAGGGAGGAAAGGGAGAAGATCTGGGGGAAAAAAGGCCAACAGGGAAAGGGGGGAAAGATCTAAGGAAGGAAAAGGGAGAAGCTCTCAGGGGGGAAAGGCCTTAGGCGGGAAAGGGTGGGAAGGATCTCAACAGGAAAAGGGGGGAAACAATCTTAGGAAGGAAAAGGGAAAAGATCTGGAAAGGCCTTAAAGGGAAGAAGGGAAAGGATCTCAACGGGGAAAGGAGGCAAAGGATCTTAAGGAGGAATAGGGAGAAGATCTCAGCGGGGGGAAAGGCCTTAGGAAGGAAAGGAGGGAAAGGATCTCAACAGGGAAAGGGGAGGAACGATCTCAGTGAGGAAAGGGAGAAGATCCCAGGCAGGGAAAAGGCCTTAGGGGGGAAAGGGGGAAAGGATCTCAACAGGGAAAGGGGGCAAAGGATCTTCGGGAGGAACAGGGAGAAGATCTGAAAAGGCCTTAGGGGGAAAAGGGGGAAAGGAGCTCAACAGGGAAAGATGGGAGAAGATCCTAGGGAGGAAAAGGGAGAAGATCTTGGGGGGAAAGGGGGAAAGGATCTCAACCAAGGG